GATCACACTCTGATCACTTCCTCCCAGCTTGTGAAAGAGAATCTGAAATGGACATAAGCAGCCAATGCAGCCTCTAGGCCTCTTCACTTTTACCCGGTTAGTGGGGTCCGCATGGACTCTAGGGAGGCCACCCACACAGTAATACACACACACCGCTGACAACACACACAGAATTCCAAACAGCCCCCATGCATACACATAACACCACACACAATACTATATATCACCAGCACTCACAGCCCCAGAAATACACAGCCCACTTTCACAAACATAACATGATGCACAGCCCACATACATATGTGTCACAGCCCATATACATGCAAATCAACCAAGGCACTCATACATGACGCAAGCAAAATGCAGAAAATTCATACTAATTTATAAAATAGGCATGCCGTGGGCTTCAAAGTCTTGTTTTGGCACAGTGCTACTAAAAAGTTGCCCACCCCTGCCCTGTCACTTGTACTTTGTATTAAATGACATAATCATTATTTATAGGAACATCCTATACTGCAGCACAGTATAAGGATAAGGTAGAACATACTAAGAGATGTGAAAATGTGCAGAATACTACATAACAAGGGTATGCTTGTGCTTCCAAGTGGAATAATGCATTTCAGCTATCCTGTAGGTAGAAGGAAATTACTGGTGCAAGGTGGGGTGCCAATTTGACAGCGAAATGGAAAACAACTCTCTCCCTCTCTCTCTATATCTATATATATATATATATATATATATATATATATATCTCTATCCAAATGAATTTTATAAATATTAGACAAAACAATATTTATAAATATTAGAAATAATTATAAATCATATGAAAATGATTAGTAGTCAGAGTACTCATTAATGCCAGTTCTGCTTAAACCCTCAGTCAGGCCAATCGCCGCCGGGTATAAGTGACATATTTGGAAAGAAATGTTGCTAGTTAGGTCTGTGAAGATTTTAAGCCAAGAATTATTCACAAGAAGCTGAAAAGATACCGATATAACTGAACATGATGTATTTTCATTGCAGAGGATATAAATTTTTAGCTGCTTTAAACCTGTTTACAAGGAGGTATCAAGGGAAAAGTTTTAACCCCTTAAGGACACATGACATGTGTGACATGTCACGATTCCCTTTTATTCCAGAAGTTTGGTCCTTAAGGGGTGTAAGGGACATTCTAAATGGCAGTGACAGTTTGTATACAGAAACATTTTTTGGGGAAGATATAACTCCAGAGAGCATTTCTAAGCTTATTTACAAAGATATTTGCTTATTTTGCGTCTTAATGGACATATGATAATTTTTGGGTAAGATGCATTAAAGAGAAGCATAGTTATAATATATTGCCATAAAAATAAAATTGAAAGGGACACTCCCGGCACCACAGAAACTTCATTGCAATGAAGTTGTTATTGTATGAGGAGGTCACAGCCTCCCTGTTACCTTAAAGGGTTATACCGTTAAAGAAAGGTTTAACTCCAAATTTTGAAAATTGGCACCTGATCGCTCTTCCTTTGACATGGTTGTATCATGAGGGATAAGAGAATAAGATTCCATTTATAATCTCTCTGCAGAGACGTGTTTCTGTTCTGAATGAAAGACAGTACTTCACGTAAAAGGCTAAGTGAGTTGGAGTATATAAGCTAAATGTATTTCATTTTGAAAGTCAAATAGTATATACGCAATGTTGAAAGGGAATATGTTAAATGTTTAAAGGACCACCATAGGCACCCAGACCACTTCAGCTCAATGAAGTGGTCTGGGTGCCAGGTCCCCCTAGTTTTAACCCTGCAGCTGAAAACATACCAGTTTCAGAGAAACTGCTATGTTTACACTGCAGGGTAATCCAGCCTCTAGTGGCTGTCACCCTGAGAGCCACTAGAGGCCACATCCGCGATTTACATGGAGTAAATCGCACTTATTTGACGCTGGATGTCATCACGGGTTTGAATGTGCGCGTGCCTCTGGCCACGCATGCGCATTCAGCTCCACTCGGGAGCTGACGTTGATGGAGGAGGAGATGTCACCAGCATCGCGGGAGCCTGGCGCTGGATTAAGGTAATCAAATAAAAGGTAATTTAACCATTTATTTGCCACGGAACAGGGCCCTAGTCACCTAAATGGTGACTAGGGCTCTATAGTGTTAGGAATACATATTTGTATTCCTAACGCTAGAGTGTTCCTTTAAGGAGAACAAATGGGGAGGGGTTCTTGGAAAAAGTAAACAATACACTCAATTTAATTACACCATTTTGTTAATGCAAATGCCTTTTCTTTTTCATTTTTCATTCTAAATTATAATAAGACCAATTGTGCAGAGCTTTACTGCTTCAAACAAATCCTCCTGATGTTCATTGTACTGCGTACTTACATTTATTTAAACAATTAAGTCTCTATTCTTTCAACTGGAGCAAAAGAGCCCAGATCCCAATATTCCAGGTGCAATATGCCACTGCGCACATGTTACTAGGGAAAGTC